TCAGTTCTTTCGCTATAAGAACTGACAAAAAAGCTTGGACATCTCACAGAGAAGAGTGAATATTCTATCAACTCCTACACATATTTGCCTCTATTGGTACCACTAATTTCTGGGATTGAGATAAGAGCAAATGTGGTCAGTGAAGATAAGCTGACTTAAACAGACAAGACACAGACTGTCTGTTCCAAGTTCAGAATATGGGATTCCCTCTAATATCACTCATCCATCATAGATTTTTGTACCTGCTCTGTGTATAGTAGTGTAGATCTTATATTTTATATCCTTCTTATAGGAGCCATTACTTCCAGGACCTCTGTCCTACAATTGTTTGCTAGCATCAATTTCTGTTTGGGTCAACAAAAGAATATATGTGGTGGTGTCTGTTTCTGTCCTATATCACTCACAACTCATCCATGATTATGTACATGACTTTTCCATATAACTTTCTCAGTTGGTATGTGGTGCAGGCTTCTTTTTTTGGCTTACACTTCTATGCCACCCTGTGGCCATATCATGGCAATGCTACTCAGCATAGTTATATAGGTTTTTCTCTCTTGTGAAGGTCATTATGCTTCTGAAGAGGTCAACAATGCAGTCTTGATTATATGGCAGAGGAAAGTTGAGGCTTGCTCTTCCTCATGTGGACACACTGACCCTGACATGCTAAGTTGTACATTCAGTCCATTGTTCCAGTGCTATTTCAGATATAAGAGTTGAGGGGAGGGAGAAATAGGGGTTCTAAGACATAGAACGACACAATGGGAAAACAGCCACAGCTACCGAATTACAATTACCTCCAGTCATAGAGCAATTAAGCTAACAAATGAGCAAGGGCTGGCAATTTTTGACAGAATGAACATTGATGAGAAATTAACTTTTTTATTCCTATAAGCTATGGTTTTTGAAAAAAAAATCAAAAAATCCTTCCATTAGTGGCAAGAACTGGGATACTAATTCAGGAAGATGCTTCTAAGCTCCCAATTTAATTCTCTTGTGCAAAGAATCAGTAGCAACTGAAAACATACCAAGGGGTCTGATTCTAGCGAATTGGGTGTAGAATCCTTGCCACTCCGTTCCTCTGGAGGAGAGACTATGCTGTGGGGCCCCACGCTGGGTGGGGGAAGATGGTATAATTTTGACTGGTCTTGCTGGGCTGATGGCCAAGGCAATGTGTCTCTCACCCACTCCACAGGGTCCTCCCAAGCAGCTTTCTGCCCGTGTACCTGCAACACAGAAGGGTGAGAAAGAATACTGACACTTGCTAGAAGCAAGTAACATACACATGCAACCTGTCTTTCTTCCAGTTCCTTCACTGAGGGATGTAGTAGAGCTTAAAAAAAATTCAAGATTGGAAGGAACAGCTTTTCTGCAAGATATGATGAATAATTCAGAGTAAAAGAAAATAGTAACCTGTAGCTGAGCAACCTATCTGTGCATATTGATCCAGGCTATAACCACATCACTAGTTCTTCTAGAAGAGATGAGGATGTAGGGAAAATTACCTTGATCCCATCCTTTGCTCCTTCCTGAAGATAGGGGATAATGGAATTGTTCCACAAGTCAATGAACCAGGTTCGGAAATCCTCAATACCAATTGGGCATGACAGGAAGAAACAAGGACCTGGAAAAAACAGTAAGGAGAGGAAGATAAACTACTAGCCAGTGGAGGAACATCAGACCCATGTAACATTTTGGTCTTAAGGGATTACTGCATCATCATAGTGGCTATGGCTAAGAGGAGGCCCTATGGTATATATTTACTCTTTAAAAAAGACATTCATTTCTAGTTCCTAAGACCTACAGGGAGGAGCAATTTGGCATTTAGGATTTGCCATTCAGATCTAGAATGCAGTACTTACAGACATTTTGGCCTCCTGAATACCTCAAAGAAGCCTATAGTTAAATGGATAAGCTTACTTCCTAAAATTTGTTAAATTTACTATTGCCCAGCCCCACAAAAATACTTTCAACAGTAATCTGAAAATAAAAATAATGAATATGGCTATCAGAAATGTAGCAAATAAAGCAGAATAATCCAGAAAACTGTCCTTACAACTGGAGTGACTCTAAGCATATGCATATTGCTTTTTTCTCACCACTGATTGGGAGAAAACTTAGTTAACTGCAGGGAAATCAAATGAGAGGCTGAAGCTTGCATGCAATATCTTAACCCCTCTTTTATAAACAGCCTGAAATAACATGCAATTTTATGGTGATATTTATTTCAGCTTCCTGGGTGACAAACTTAGGCCTACCGATGAGAAAGTCAGAAGTGCTATGCTTCTCCAAGAAGGTATGGAGGTGATACCAGAGCTTTGGCACCCAGTCCAACACACGTAGTAGTTCCTCCCGATTGGCATTGACATCACTGTCAGACTCAAGCAGCTTCCGACGCAGGTAGCGGACCAGGAAGCCATTGGCGGGCTCCACGTTATTGGAGAAAGTCAGCATCCTACAGGGTAACATGACAAGACATATTTGTCATGACAAAAACAGGAAAGTACTCATCCCAAGCAAATGATCCTTTTCCATTTCTCTTCTAGGCCAAAATACTGAGTAAGAGAAAGAACTTTACATCTTCCTCACCCCACAGAACAAGGTACATACTGTGTATACTCTCCAAATATAAATCCTTGAACTTGATAGGGTAGAAGAGACACTCCAAATAGTCATTTCTGTGGCAATTACCTGAAGCTGAGGTGGAGGCCATGGTTTGGAGTCATCTTGACAGGCTGGTTAGTTGTCCCAATTATGTAGGGGCTGATGGGGAAGAGAAAGAAAATTCAATATGTTGCATTTGCATTCTGGATGGGGGAACATTTATTTTATTTACTTATTTATAGGACTTATATGGCTGCCTATCTCATATAATGACTCTAGGTGGCTCACAATATGTTCAGAACTTCTTTATTCTGACCTTCCAACACTTTCAACAGAGCTGGATTGTTTGCTTTTTTGTTTCGTTTTGGTTTTTTTGGTGCCTTTCCTTTGAGTCAACGTTGATTCCTGGCAACTGCCTGGACAAGTCCCTGCAGTTTTCTTGGCAGGATTTCAGAAGTGGTTTGCCACTGCCTCCTTCGTAGGGCTGAGAGAGCAACTGGTCCAAGGTCACCCAGTTGGCTTTGTGCCTAAGGTGGAACTAGAACTCACAGTCTCCTGGTTTCTAATCTGATGCCTTAACCACTACACCAAACTAGTTGTGAAGCTGCTTTATCCTCTGTCATATCTGCCTCACACTCACTGTCTCAGCTATGATAGGATCTGCTCAAGATAAAAGAACATATTTTCTAAATAGAGCTGAAATTACTTTAATAATTATATGAGGCACTGGTAGAGGAAGTTGCCTTATATTAAGGATCTTAGGTAAGTTAAACTAAATTCTTTTGGATGAGAAATTTGTCTACAAAGGTGGGATACTAACTTTTAAATATGATAACTATAAAAACAACACTTGAATGGGCCATCAATTCCATATTAAGGATTCTTGTGATTTGTAGTAATAGGACCATACCTTCTCTGTCAGACTTCAACAGAAATGCTGAAGATAAAATAGTACAGCCAACCTTTTCTGGTAGTTGTGTGACATTTTATTGTACTGCTCTAGGGCACAATAAAATGTATTCTCAATTATTTTGGTTACTAGGTGTTTGAGACATTAGCTGATCTATATAAATCAAGCCACAACCTGCTTCGTGATCCTGAACAGGGAACTTATAACCGTTCCTGTCTATGCCAGATTGGCCATCTGCTGCACAAAACAAGAGATGAGGAAGTTCTCTTGTTCAACGTTATTCAAGAGAAAATGATGCCATATGCCTGAAATAATAGGGCAGCCATGTCATTGCCAAAAATCTATCATTGTTAGCTATAGGATATGCAGGAAGAAATCACAGTATAACCTGTAAATTCTTGTAACTTACATACTGTAGCTTGGGGGGTAGGATCTCTATTAAAAGTACAAGTTCAATATCAATATATATCTTAGTTTCTCACCATTTGTGGTACTTGCAGGTAAGTGCTCCATTGACAAGCTCACTGATGGAGCCAGGTTCACTGAGATCATCTAGGAGGATGACTAATGGAACATCTATCCCTGTTTCCCGATCAATCTGATTAGCTAGATTGGAGAGGTAAAGCTGTAAGTCCTGGTGAAAATAATGAAAGTAAGATGTTACTGTGTCGGTATAGAGAGAATATTCACAAACACTATAGTACAGAAATGCAGGGACATCAGGAAAAATATTCACACTGGGTATTGGGCTTAGGACTGAGAACCACTAGTTAGCACTGAAGGGGAACAATGACAAAGGGCTGGAAGAACAGATTCATGTGGGTATAGGATTGCAGTCCTATACCTACATATTCAGAGCATGTTTCATTGAAATTAAATCTAGAATTGCAGTGAAAAATGAATGGTTCCATCAAGGATAAATTGCCTCAATTAAAATAAGAAGAGGAACCTATGGCTAAGGAAGAAGACTATGTGCAGATTTGAGTTAAGGAGATACTGCTCTTGTGACTATTCAGAAATGAAACAATTAAAAGAGTTTCCTACCTTGCACGACTGCTGGTGCATGTTGAAAGTATTCACAATGCCATCAGTAACCTCGCGGCCTGAACGTTCCACCAGATATTCAGCCAGACGATTGGTCAGGTAGGTCTTGCCAGTTCCACTTGGCCCAGAAAGGATAAGGCGCCGGTGCTTGAGTAGAAGGCTTATGTAGTGCTGCATCATTGGTTTGGGGATAAGAGTCTCAAAAACCAGGCTGTCCACACATTTTTCTTTCAAACCTACACCCAAGAATATGGCTATTACAAGAAATCTTCGTAACATCATAGTCTCAATTTTGCATTACAATGGTCCCTCATGTGCCAGAGCAGTCTTCTTCCTTTTGCAGCAGTTTTCAACTGCTCACTGCAGTTTCTTCCTAACTGCAGCCAGATGGTCAGAAATATGCATGAAAGCCTCATATCTACCAGACATGATTATTCCTCCTTTGAAAAGCACTTAAATAGCACATTTTTGCATCAAATTGGTAAGCCTGCTTGAAAAGGACTTATGAGGAAGGCGTTCAGGTAACCTACCATCAATTGTTCAGACCCCTAGTTTGAGAAATGCTAGACTAAGTAATGACCTGAAGGGATCCTGAATCTGAAACTTATTTCAACCTAATACCAAAACCAGAGATAATACCTATTATAACACAAACAAATACAAATCTTTGTGTATAATCAATACAGCATAATACTACAGTGTTGCAGTAATCATCATCCCCTATCATCACCTAATTCCAGAATTACAAGTGCTTTCCAGAAGCTCTCTTAATCCTGTTGCTTTTTCCTCTCTGTCAGCCATTTGGAGATAAACAGTTAAGAACCAGTGGAAAAAGCAGTACCTTTCAAAGTCACAGCAATGCTGGTTACACCCCGGCGGGCAGGAGGTAGTTCTGGTGGCTCCATGTCCAAGATTCTTTTAACATGGCTAATGCTGTAGCCGTAGACAGACTCAATGCTGAGCCCCAGAGTCAGAGCAGGGTCCATCTTGGTGACATAGTCCTGAACAAAGGAAAGGAGGTTTTCCATTCAGTCGCGCTCCAGAACAAGATGTAACCCTATACTAGTTTGAATACTGCTTTTTAAAACATTTAAAACTGCTTTTTATCCTATCTCTAACTGTTGTGAGGATACAGTGGGGGAAAGGAGAATGTGTGTGCTCCTTAGAAATAAGGTCAGGTGTAAAGATAAATAATAACTGCCACTACAGATGGGACTAAAAGCAGCAACAACCCCCAACTCTCCTGCAGTATTGTGTACTCTGTTCATTGACCCACTGTCCTCTCTCTCCTGGCTTTCCAGTTCCCGCTGTCAGGCACTCAACATTCTGTGGCCACTGAGCACGCTCAGCCTTCACTGGATTATCTTAAGAATGCATTTTGTTGTTTTGCTTTTTATTTCTTAAAAAATATATATATTTTTTGCATTTTCCCCAACCAGTACCTTCTTTTTCTACTTGAATAGTGTGGACTTGGTTAAATAATGATCGTTTAGATATATTTTCCATTAATATGTGCAATAACTTCAATTGCAATGGTAAAGATTGATAGCGCAGATGAACCGCCCTCCTTAGGCTGATGTGTTGAAATGTGATTTAAAGGTGCACAGCTAGAAAATCTTAGCCGTTTTCATATGTTCACTGTATTATTCTCAGAGCCATGCTTGGGAAGAGACGTTGGTTAAATTAACCTCCTTATGCAAAGGATTAAACTGCAGCGGGCAGCCCCTCATTTGGCCATACAATGGGCAAGGAAGAAATGAGAGACAGACAGACAGACAGACGTGTGTTTGTGTGTGTGTGTGTGAGAGAGAGAGAGAGAGAACCAACTCTGCTTATCTTTATTAAGTCTTTCTTATCTTTTTCTCTCTGTCATTTCTCTTTCTCATTGCTCTGTTACTCTGAGATTTTTTTAAACTTAGTACTATAGAAGATGGCCAGCAGGAAAGTTAGCATTTAAAGTTCTGTCCTTAAAGCCCAGGAAGAGGAAGTAACATAAGGTTGAGGTGTGAATCCCTGAATCCTAAATTCAGTCCTCTAGGTGTTTGAAATAAAGTTTGTGAAGATGGAAGTGTAGCAAAAAGGTTGCCATTAATTAGCATCTTACCTTGAAGACCTGACAGACAGCTTCATCCAGCATTTTCCAGTCCAATTTCCCATTTACTTTGCTACTGCCCAAATAAAATTCCTGCTGCTTCAAGTCCTAGAAGCCAAATCAGAGGTACAACATGGCTGGGGCTGTTTACAGTGGCAACAGGATCATCTCATTAGAGTCATATCCTCTAACCCAAATCTGTTGCACATGGAGAGACTCTGCTCCAAATAGTGACCTCCCCCTATTTGTGATGGTGCTTACTCCTTTGATGATGTGCTGAGGTGGCATGCGCACTACTATTCGCAGTACCACCTCATCCTTCTGGGTGCCAGCACTGATGCCATCCATTGGTGACAATTCTGGAAAAGACAGATGTGGTACATAAGTTGCACAAAAGCAGACATTAAAGCAAAGGATAGTGTTACCAGTACAGTGCTATCCATGTTGTCAACATTAAAAATTTCCTTTCCTTTGGAGTCCTACAGCTTACTGTGAGAAAACTCCCACATATTTTGTCATTCAAGGTACTTTGCAGGTGAAAGGAGAGAATCCATTCCAGCTTGATAAAGGCATAGAAGCTGCCCCTTCATTTGAAACTTAGGTAAGGCACTTCCCAAATAGGGTGGATATACTTGAACTTTTGCAAGCACCTTCAGTAAGCTCTGTTGTCTTCTTTTACAACTTTCACCTTTGTCTCCTTTGAGTCACTACCCAGATGGCTTCCATGCCTAAGAGAGGACTAGAACTTGTGGTCTCCCAGTTTGTAGTCCAGCAGCTTAACCATTACACCAAACTGGCTCTCTTGATAACAGAAACAGATAGTTTAACACTATCTTCTTCCAGGATATTTTTTGACTTCACAGTCTACTCTGTAGCCTTGGATTTCTTGGTAGTTCCCCATCCAAGTACTAACTAGGTCCAACCCTACTTAGGTTTTTCAGATTAGCCATGAAAAGGTTGCCTGAGGGGAATAGTCACAGAAATAGTCATCAAATTATATTGTGATTTTAACCATCCCATCTAAGTGAAAGAGAAGGATAGGTTATAATTCAGCTTTACTGCATGTGTGCAGTATTGTTCACAAACATAGTTTTCTCACTACAATACAGTGTTGAATTTGAAAGCAAAGCCTAATTCTTGAGAGAAGGACTAATCTGTCATTTCAAAATTCAAGCACATTATATTTGATGGTCACCTCAGTTTAATTGCTGAGAAATCCTGCCTGTCACTGACTGAAATTGAGTAAGTTGCATCATATTTGTCCACTAAAAATTCTATTCATTCTTTCCCCTCTCCTAAGTCCAGGAAGTAGGTTTCTTTCTGGCACCTTAAAAATTATTTCCAAAATCTGATGGGACATCTGAGAACTTTGTTTTGTTTCATTTGAATTTAGTAGACCTCACAGAGAAAGCCCTCATGATTTGAGGATTTGGGGGAAGAAGAACTCTTACTATCCAAAAAAGAATTGCTGCTCAATTGATGATAGCCCCTTTCTCTTTCTGCCTTCACTTCAAAAGAAATTAAGGCATATACATTGGCACTGACTCCAATTTCTCCAATTAGCCTCCCTGGTCTGTGTATATTACCAATAGGGATGTGCAAAATGGTTTGTGAGTGAGCTATTTCTTACATAGAACAGCTGGTTTCCAGTTGTTATGGGTTCAAAAGAAAATTTCCATTTTGTGCACACCCCTAATTACCAAATGTCCCACCCTCCCTGATGTAAACAAGACTTTGTATAGCACTGATTACCCTCTGTTTCCCCTACAAGCCAGTCCTGATTCTATCTTTTAAACACAGACCATTAAACAACAACAACAACAGGAGAAGATTATAATGATTCTGATTATAATGATTTTTTTCTGCAAAAAAAGTAAGTTGCTATCAGTAGTTTGGTGGTCCTCCTTTTCCTATTTTCCCTTTTTCTTTTCTTACCTGTATCAGTTAAGCTGGGACTGAAAGAGTGACTCAGCTGTAGTCCTAGGGAGCGCCTTGGGGAAGATGCAGCAGATGAACTCAAAACATGGCTTGGGATAGATGATGGCCCAGGTGCCACCTTTAGCCGGTCATTTTCAGCTTTCAATAGATCTACTTCCAGCTAAAGGAAATGGACAAAGAGCAATGGCTGGGATAATATGCCTAATAACAATAACAACATTCATTTGAGCCACGTATTCATTTATTTAGAGGACTTATATGCCACTCCCATCAAAAATGATCTGAGCCATTCATACACTTTATTTATGTAAATGTGGTTAAAAACTATGGAATTAAAACCACAAATAACAATAAAATACAGAACACAGCACTGGTATAAATAAAACTCTATATCCATTACACTTGGATTACAAGGAAGAAGCCACTTGCAACATTCCTGCTGAAAAAGCCAGTTTTGATGGCCCTTCTGAAACCCAGGAAGAGAGGGGCTCTCCTGATCTTAGTGGGAAAGCTATTCTAAAGAAGGGGAAATTGAAAAGCCCCACTGCCTAACCCACCCCTGAAGATGTCAATCTCTCAATGAAGTGAACTGAAGGGAACTGCTCTGTTGGACCTTATTAGACAGGCAAAACCAATCCAGTCCTGACGATATCCAGGTCCTATGTCAGGCACCTTGAATTGTACCTGGCAACCAACATTATGGATTCCAGAGACCAAGGACTCAACAGGAAACCCTAAGCGTGAGCCACTGGAAAAAGAGGCCTTTACAACCAAATATAATTTTTGTATTTCTTTTCTGCCAGAGAGGGGGTGCTTGGCAGAACTTTATTTGGTACATTAGCACTGATGTCCAACCTGCAGTTAAGCCATAAAGAAGACAGCAGAGATTTCCTGTCTTTTTCTTAAGCAAAAGAAAACTGCTTTGAGGTCCAAAACCACAGCCTAGTTCCTGCTCGTGCTCGCGCTCTCTCTCTCTCTCTTTCTCTCCATCATTTTTTATTTTTACTTGTTCTGAAACAATATATCTGTTTGGAATATTATTAGGATAGTAAATGGCTCAAAGAACACATTATGTTAGCTATGCAGTGTGCATTTGACCCTATTTATTGTTTAATCTCAAGAACTATGTGGGGCAGTGACCCACACTGTGACCATGGTGAGTCTAAAAATAGAAAAAGAGCCTCTACTGGCACTAAAGAGGCTCTTGTCCTTTTTAAAAATCTCTATGCTGGGGGAAGGAATTTGGAAATTAATCAAAAGGTTTAAGGATCAATAACCTGTGCACAACTGTTCAAACATTGTAGTTCCTCTAATAAAAATAAAATCAGCAGTATCAGCTGCATGTAATGTAGGAAATGTATCGCGCAGTTGTTTTACTGTTCCATGAAAACACACAACAGGCACTCAGAAATTGGTCTCTATAGCAATGTAAAACTGCAGTCTGACCCATCACGCCAACTCTGCACAGCACCATTCCTACCTGCATATTGTGCATAGTTTCACGCAGCTGATCCAGCTGATGGGCAGAGTTTAGGGCTTCCAAACGAATGTCAGTCAGTTTCATTTCTTTTTCCCACAGCTCTGAGCGTAATTCTGAAACCTCCTTTTTCTCAGGTTCTTCTTCATTGGTCTGGAACAGTCTGCATAGGGAATGAAAAGACATTAAAAGAAAGGCTAAAAGGCAAGTCCGTACATAGCAATTAATGTTTCTCCAAATACCGAACTGCCCACAGGTGCCTTCCTCTTTTGCTTCCAATAGAGTTGGAGGCTGGACTTACTCAGTGGTATCAATGCCTACAGAAGAGGAGTTAGAAGATTTGATAGAAGGAGAAGCTGTCTCCATGGATCCATGTTGCAGTTTGGGGGATGATGGTGCTGAAGAGTCAGGGGTGGCAATTTCCTCTATATCAGAATAGGAGGAGGCAGATTTTGGACCCTTTTTGATGCTGAAAGCTTTGTTGAAAGAGCTCCTTAACTGAAGAGGAAAATAAAGATATAGAAAAGGTTATGAAAGTCCTCCCAAAGTCTTCATTAAGACAAGCAAATTCCTCTCTAATCATTTTGAATACTTTTCAGGACACTCAGCATCCTTGATTCTTTTTTAAAAACCTTATATATTATATCCCAGACAATATGCTTCTAACATTGACATTAACTAAGCCAACAGCTGATTTACAAGAACGTATACTCTTTCAGATACAGATTGCTGCATTTAATTAATTACTAAGATACAGATTAAGATGCATTCCACCCATAAGCATGCACTGAGGGGGAAAATCCATTTTACTGAACAATCTTTTAAAAATAGGAATGCAAGCATATAAAAGATGGTTGAGGGGTTAAGAAGTATCTAATTTGTGTTCAGTGCATCTTAATTATGCTCCCCAAGCTACCAACCAATAGACTTAAGAGGATTCCGCAGCAATACTGGTTGTTTTCAAGCATGCCAATTTAAATAAGTTGGGCCAGGGGTTGGGGTGGGTGAGAACACTTCTGACAAAAGTAGGTTTGTTCCCCCTTCACCTCATGGCATGTGAAATGCCTCAAGCTGAGTCAGCTCCTGGCAAGGAAGTGAAATGCTTCTAAATGTCACTATTATTATCTCACCATGAAAAGAACCAGACTGCTTATATGGTTGGAAACCATAAATCTGTGTCCTTGAGGGAAGCTAAATATATAAACTCTGTTTGTTTGAAAGAAAGTTTGTTTAAAAGAAATACAGCCCAGTATGACCTGGGGATTCCAAAGCAATAATGTATCTGTTGCAGGTTAGGAAAGATGCAGATAGGAGCTGGGTCCTCCTCGCCACCCCCACCACAGCAGCTTGAATAGGAACATAAATAAATGACCTTATTCTACACACTAATGAAGGAAACCAAGGCAGTTCATCAGAATGAAACTTGGACATGTCTGAACATGCACTAGAGTCAATAATTAGCAACAACATTGGCACTGATCAACCGAGAACTTGCATATAACTGCTACCATTGTGACGTCTTGTATAGAAGGTGCAATGTACAAGGAGAACCATTAATTCAAAGTGTTCTGGATTTCTAGCAGCAGGATTTCTTGCCTCTAACAGGAGGCAAATGATGGCAGGCTTTTACTCATGCACAGAAAACATAAAGGTGAAGAGAATGGCATGTGGACAACAGGTTTATAATCTAACTACAATCTACTATGACTATCTCTTGATGAAAACCTGGATTTTTAGGAGTAGGCAAGATTTGTGTCACAAGAGCTGCTGCTTTCTCTGTACTATTTAGGAAGAGAACCTGGATAGGTTACAAGCTCATTAGAAACATGCCAGAATTGATTCCTTGCATGACATGGTTGCTTTTTTCAAAGCAGAGGCAAATGATATTGAGGAAAGTCCGAGCATTCAAAAGCTTCTAGTGGTAGCCACCATGCTTCAGTGGATTTGGTCAGTGCTTGGGAATTCTTTGTATGGCTACAGGTCTATCACAGAGAAAATGTGAGGTTTAAATGTAAAATTAAAATCTTTATTTGGGGAATAAAAAAACAGGAAAGGGAGAGGGAGAAGGAATAGAATTCATGCCTCTGTTCTTGTCACCATGACGCATATAGAAGTCACTGTATTGATAGCATGCACTCCATTTGTCACACATTCAGACATTAGTTCTATCACTAAGTTACATCACTAAGAAGAGTATTTTACTTCCTGTCTTAATCACAGAAGGAGCAGGAAGGAATAATCAGACCCCACTTATAAGATCATTTTGCAGTGTAGCTGATCATGTCAAGGATAACCTGCGGTATTTGTAGAGTGACACAACAGCCACAGTTCTAAGCTTACAGGGTGTGAATAGATCCTTGTGATGCTTATAAATTTATCCAGTTATAAAGCACTGTCCTCCTGGAGTTTATACATTTAGAATCTAAATGTGCTTCAACAGTCAATTCTTCAGCCTTATCTCTCTCTAAATCTGATATTGACATGCCACATTTGTCAATATGGCTAGACTGCTTCCTTTGCCCTTAGAATATATAAGCACTTTCTAGTTTTAATGGAAAGATACTCATCAGAACTGGGAACTAAAAGGTGAGTGTCTCATTCATCTTGTACTCAAAAGCCTGGCTATTAAGAGACTGAAGAAGCAGATCTTTCTCTCCGAAGTCATGACTCAATCAATATTATAAAAAAGATTTTAAAATAGGCAAAATAGTTGTATGCTTTGCTCTTGAAAGGAATAAGTAATGCATGATTTTAATCATGCTCAGGCAGAGCATGCAACATGCATGCATACACACACTCACACAGACACAAAACAGGCATCAATTCACATGTGTATTGAGACAGTAGCAGGAAGAACAGCCACTGTAATGGGTGAAGATACTACTGTAATGGAAAATAGGATTTACTGTAATTATCATACTTCTAATCTTTGGGCAGATCACAGATGCTATTTTTCTCCCTCCAGCCAGTCTCTGGAGCATAAAGGGGAAGGAAAGTATCGCAGTGCACTGCCCTCCTGTTTGGCTTCAAATGGCAGTTACTAGGATCTAGGGCTTGCATTTTCCTCATTCCAGCCTGCTGCAAGCTGTGGATGCTTGAAATCCTGCCTGGATATTCCAAGAACAAGACCTGACCTTGTTAATAACAACAGGTGGGTTTCCAAAATGGAAGACCACTTAGGAAGGTGGGTATTGACTGGCAGAAACATTTCTGATAATGTCTGAAATGAAGGAAATGTTGTAAGTTTTTGAATCTTGTTCCTGGGTCAGTAAAATTGAATAAGCCTAGATATCAAGAGACCTAAACACAGTTTACACTGAATTTGAAAAGCATCATTAAACTACTGAGGGTACTTTGTTATTATTTATTTAAACAGCTTTACTTATCATATCCTTCAACAAAAAATTCTTAACAACTTATCAAAAAATTCACACGGTGATAATATTACAGCACAAGTGTAATGCAATCATTTCAAAAATGGAAACTTTCCCTTAACATAAGGTAAGAGAAGTTGTTTAACTTGTGCTCTCTCTCTCTCTCTTCATCTATCTGTAAAACTATTGCTAATGATGAAAAAGGAAGATACTTAAATGCATTCATCAATATTTTGAAAATATACTTCCTTCTGTTATGACAACTGTATAATGTATCTATATACAGTAAGACTGGAACACAGTCTGTAAATACAAACTATACATGGGAAGTGGTTAAAAACACACTAGTTTGTGAAAAGCATAATGGTTTTCATAATGAATCAGGGCAGATTTGAAATCATAATTATCAACAGATATGAAACTTTGCCCCCAGTCCCAGTGCAGTGGCCTCTTACAGCATGACTTGGCAGTGCAAGCATATGAGCAAATGGGATGGTTAGTTTCACAAGTGTTGAGCTGTCCCATATACAATGGAGTGACCAATCAGGAGTAAAACATAAGGAAAGGACTAGGGAGAAGGTGGAAGGGAAGTTCCAAGCTTACCTCATATACCTGAAAATAAAAAAGTGTTGTAGATCAGCATTGAAGGAAGAAAAGGGAAAAAAAATACAGCAAGACTTAATCATGCACTCAGCTCGGAGCTCCCTGCCCAAAAGAAGCAGGGATGTTCAGCACATAGAGGTAGAGCAGATGCCTATTCCAGCCTTCCTAAAGGGAAGACACACATACTGAGCAGAGAGCAGGAGGTAGAGCTCTCCTCAGAACAGTGGGAAGTAGCAGAACTGTAAGGTTAACATACAGAAAAATAAGGACTCACATTAGCAGCACAAGTAGTAACTTGCCATGCAAAAAACAGTTGTGATGCAATCTATTTAAAAAGTTCAGTTCTTTAAGTATAATAATTGCACACTGTTCTCTATGTCTCAAAAATGTTTCAGTTCAATTACTCTTCTTTTTTTCTTTTAAAGAGTAGCCTGAAAAACTAAGACACTTTTCTGTTCTTATTCCTGGCTCAAAACAAACTGCTGGAATGAGAACAGAAAAACATCAAATAATTAAAAGTTATCTCCAGATAAGGGATGGGAGTGGGTGGGCAGAAAAATCATGGAGCATATCAGGAACCTTTTAAGTGCATGTGTTTGTTTTTTTTAATAAAAACTGCATAATGACATGGACATCATCACCATTTATCTGCTGGGCCATCATAATTAAATACGATTGGCATACTTCACGGGCCATCACTTAGCAGCGGATGAAGCCTCTTGTAGAGAGCAGTTTTGCATCTGAGTTCAAGAGCAAAATAATACAAACTAACATTCTGTAAGAAATACTTTCTCCAAGCAGGTACTGCTACTTCTACAGGCAAGAATCCTAGAATAACCATGGTACCATTCTATAACCATTCTATTCTATAACCATTCTATTATCTATTCTGACAAGACACTACAGGGTTTCATCTTCATATAGTGTAGAACTGAATTCAGTTCCTCTGGCTTCACCTCTTTCTTGACCTACCCAGCTTTTCTTCTTCTTCTTCTTGGCATCCGCATCTTTGCCACTACCAATGCTAGAATGGCTAGTGATGCTATTCAGGCTGGATATACTATCTGATGAGTTTTGCCTCTTGATTCGTAGTTCTGGACAAGAAGGAAAAGAAAATGCACATTTAGAATGTACTTATAGACTTGGGTACTTTTGCATGGTCACATCTGTCCATTTTTCAGTCTCAACTTCAAACTATGTTAAGTATAAAAACAAAGAAGCAAATTAAAAAATTCCATGTCTCTTCTGTATAGTTTGTTCCCATTAATTTAATATTATCTCAGAAAGATTAGAATTTTACATGAAAACAAATCAGCTTATTCATCTAAAAGGTACCAACTCAGACACAGAACAGGGAAGTGGAGAATAATAGGGAAAGAGATGTACAAGTGCTATAAGCATTCAAAATCATGAATTGATATTTGGAGAAAGATATGTATTCTTTCCCTGCTGCCTAGCAGAATTGGGCATCAACAGATACAGATATATATACACATATACACCAAATCCATCATGGAGAAGATACAGATAAAAATATCCCCAAGGATCATGTGTGCCAACCACTCTGCTCACCTTTGGGTGTAATGTCAGTTCCATTCAAGGCCCCTTGGATAACAGCCTGGGCCTCTGAATTCTTCTTCTTCAAGAAATCAATAGTTTCCCGCAAGTCCAACAACTCACTGTCCTGGAAGACATTGCATAATGTATTAATGCCTTGAATTTTATTCTTTTACTAAAAATTCTGCTGAGTAATGTTAGGGAAAAGCCCTTAAGGTTTTTCCAAGCTTTATACTCCAAACAATGCAAAGAAGTTGAATCTATTCAGGATTTTAATTTCTCAAAACAATACCAACCTAGTATTTCTTTAAGTGAAGAGTGGTCTAACTTTCTGAGGATAGTGCTGAGAAATTTTACAATGGGAACAGACCTCTTTTTTTGCCTTGGTTTTTGAAGTAGGTATTTTTAAGTAAAGCAGGTATGTTAAACATGGGGAAAGGATTAATATGCCAATTTTACTTATTTTTGTGTTTTTTAAAGACAACAATTATGGTAATGTGACTGGGGCAAAAACCCACCAAAGACAGGAAGGGTTACATCCTCTAGACTACCTAACCCTATTCTAAGAAACTGAGGAAAATCTGAAAAGTGTCTACTCTTGGCTGCCTCTACAGTTCTGAGAGTTATCAGAAAATTGAACATCTACTAACACTAAATAAAAACCACCAAAGGATGAGTTGCCTAATCTCTCCAACATCTACAGCTGTGCATCCCTAACAGCCTAAGGTATTCTAGGCTTTTCATTACTAAATTTCATCCTGATCAGACAGATATTAAATAAGCAAGACTGATTAATTTTCTTCTGTTTTATCTTAATTACTCTGGAATTATTTTAAGTCTGCACATTGAACCACCTGAGTTGTAAATTGCATCAGCAAGTGGCAATATCTGGCTGACTTTGGTTAATCTTGAAAAAGCTAAGCAAAGACAGACTGGTTAAGACTTAGATGAGAGACCACTAGAAAATCTCAGGGCTACAGACTAGACTGGGAAATTGAAAAAAAAAAAAATCTCAGAAAACAATGGCAAACCACTTCCATATTGTGGCCAAGAAAACTACATAGATCCACCCAGGCAATTACTAGAGTTCAACTCAAGTCAATCTTTACCTTTTTATGTAGTAATTCACCCCATTGTAGAAGTGTAAACTAATATTTTTAATGAATACCCAACACTGGAGAACAAATTATTATGTAAGAAAAAGCTGAAGGTTCTATGACTCAAGTCTCTAGACACAGAAGTGCAGATGGTTTTCTTTCCCATACTGGAAGTTTTTGGTTTCAGCTGAGCTTGGATCACATTGTCTAATATCACTTTCTCAAGGGATCCAAATAATTGTTATAATTTTCTGCTTTTTCCTTCACCATCTAGAGTCCTGAGAAGTAGAAACAACTGTTTTTGAACAGGAGAGCTAAAATGACTGTTTGCTGCTTCTCTTCTCTTCTCTTCTCTTCTCTTCTCTTCTCTTCTCTTCTCTTCTCTTCTCTTCTCTTCCCTAATGACTCACCTTTTCTTCTGCAGTCTCTGCCAGCTGCCGGAGACGGGATGTCATGTTTACCAGACTTTGTTCAAATGCTGCTACTAAGTTAGCCTAGAAAGGAAAAGAAGAAGCAATTTTAGTCATACACCAACTGAAGTACATAAAATAACACCAAGGTCATGGTTTGACAAACTTTTTACCACCAGAGGAGTGAAAATAAGCCCCAGGCATCTGAACCTGTAACTAGGAGGGGCTGATGTACCATTCAAGCAATGGCAAAAAGATATTTGTATGGCAAGGAAAAGAAACACAAGTTAAATAAAAAATGTTACAAGATGCAAAGGAAAGAGGAGGATTGGGTTTACTGGATTTGAAATTGTATTTTGCAGCTTGTTGTTTGGTTTGGATGAACGTATGGGTTAGAAGGGCACAACCTGATGTCTGGATGGCATGGATATTTATGATACAATAAAGTTTATGTGGACTTTAAAAACCATTTTATTAGATGTGCCATACTGAGAATATGAAATAGATATAAACCCAGGTTGTGCCCGAAAACACCTCTGTGGATCTCAGCACAAGAAGCATTTTACAGAAGAGAAACAACAGGCAAAGACAAATGGTTAATGTACCAGGAATTATTGGAGAATCACCAAGGGAATATAAAATTAAATCAAGAAAGATTTAAAATGTATAAAAAGACATATGGTATGGAGCACAGAAAGGCAGAATTTGAAGTGCAATTGTGTACCAATGATGAACATGTAATTACTAAAATGTATAAACTTTTGTTGAAATTTTAAATGGAAGAAGAATAGGTTAAAGAATGTATGATAAAGTGGGCTGAGAATTTTGGTTATATTATACAGATGAATCAATGGAAAAATATGTGGTCAAAAGGGTTGAAATTTACATTATGTTAAGATGTTAAGGAGAATTTTTATAAAATGATGTATTGTTGGTACATGCCACCAGATAAATTACCTAGAATGTATAAAGGCATTCCAAATGGACATGTGAAAAAGCTAAAAAAAATTGGATTCAAATACACACATTTATGCAGAGGATTTAAAAGACTGATATTCAATTGAAGCAAGAACTTTTCCTTTTAGGACTAATGGATACACAGTTAGAAAAGAATCATGGAAGATTATTTCAGTATATGATTATTGTGGTGAGATTATTATATGCACAAAAATGGAAAGATTCAGCATTACCCACCATAGAGAAATGGTTGGTGAAATTGACAGAACTTGCTGAGATGGCCAAACTGACTTCTTTGATTAGAGA